ATATATATTGTCATTATTCTATAAACCATGTGATGCCTGCCAAGGTAAATACCAATTTTCTTATATATTAAATTTTTTTATGTTCCCCCTATGTACATTTGTTATCCAGTAATTATTTACAGAAATGCTCCTGTCAGTGTGTGTTGGTTTGGATTCGGCTGTGGCGTTCTGACGGTGACGGTATGGGCTGACAGCTGCGGCGACTGGACGACCGGACACTGCTAACGACCCGTCTTTCTTCCCTATAGGTATTATTATAATTATTTCCCCTATGTGACCTCCCTTTTTAATATATTTCCCTGACCCGCTATTCTCTCCCTTGCATAACACTGTTAGTTTCATTTTTGTACTTAAAGCGCGATAACCAATGATTTCCCTAGACCACATGGTCAAACTTTTATATTTTAATTTATACTTTTTCTCATGACCACATGGTCACATTATTAGTATTTTATTCTATTATATCTTCAATCCGCGGATTGTTATATTATTATATTATGTCCTTCAGAACATTTCGTATACCTTGGTAGTCGAAAAAAAAAAAAAATAGAAATTTATTATTATTAAAATTATTATATCCACATGTAAAGGTTTTACTTTGATCACAATTTAAATTTTCATTATATTATCAATCAAGAAATGTCAGTTATGAAAAAAAAAACAAAACAAAAAAATTAACTAAATTATTATTCTCGTTTTCAACAACAATTTTAAAATCAATTTTTTTTTTGCCTTGAGTTTTGCCATTAGTAACTATTTATTAAAGGATTTATTATGTCCTTTCAACTTTAAGGTGGTTCTAGTCAGTCATATTCTAAGGAATGTTGTATAGGCAATACATTAGACCCTTGCGATATGACTTGTTAGTGTGTGAAAAGTAAAATTACATTAGKRTGTGTGCGTTATATTTTATCGCGCCCGCGACCCGTATCAGTACCCCTATATATATATATGTCAAGCAGCGTGGCGCGTACCGTGTCATTACGGACTGCTATTTTTAATTTTATCTTATCTAACAAAATAAACTACAATCAATATAATATACAATGAAGGGTCAATGATCTTATTATTATTATTTATTGGCGGGTGACACATAACAAGGAAAATGCTTTTGCAAATATGATTTGTTTATAGTTCTTAGATGGGAGACCACTCTGTTTTTCAGTTACGTGTCATCTCT